TTAAGATGTTGGTAATCGACTTTGACAGTGGGTCCATGGGGGCGGTATTGATAAGCTAATGGCGACTAGTCCCCATCGACCCACTTCTAAGGCACGATGCTGCCATTGTCGAAAATTCAAAAACAATCCTCTTTGAGCCAAGCTACATTTGAACTATAGCCATTAGCTCATCACTCTTTTTGGACGAAATCTCCATTTTTCCTGACCAAGGTCATACAAGAATCGTTTTTCCCAGACCAAGGTCATACAAGAATCTTTCTACGTGTATAATATAAACAATTTGTACCATTTACACAGAGTTCAACTCAAGTATAGCCACATGTTTTCTTTATCAACACATTTGGGACTCCACATTACATGCAATAAGTTCACTGTGGTTTTAGGCGTGCACAAAACTAACAGGGTAATGGGTTAAGTGTTGTAGTTGTCCAAAATGTGGGGCCAGCGTGCACCGGCATGGCTTGGCTTTTAAGAATTCAAAGCAGGACTAGCTAGGACTAGGCTACGACACGATACTCGTGGTAGTAGCATTATGCTAGCATGGCGTGATCTTGTAGTGCTTACCTCCATGCTGGTGTACTTCCAGTGAGCATCTGCTCTCTAGCTGTAAAATATATATTTTGGCAGGACTTTGTCTTTGCCTCGATTCAACCACAGTTTGTGTTGTTAGTGGAAGGTGTAGCGGGGCTGTCATCCTGTGTAGGTGTTTTTGTTTTCTGTTTTCTAAAGGTGGTGTTTTAAAGGTTACCATGTTTTTTTTTTTTGGTCTTAAGTGACCATTTGTTATGATTTCTGCAAGCTTATACACGTGTAATTCTTGGACTGCTTTTCAAACTTGCTCCATCCTGAACATTTTCATTTTGACCAACGTGCCGAGACAGATTATCTCGAGTCTTCAATATTTATTGGAAATAACTGAAAAGAGCCTTGGGTTTCGTCATTCTTGCAGGTTGTCGTTCTGTGTTAAAAAGGAATACCACTGATGAAATATATACACGAGTGCCATCTGGAATAATGGCAACCAGTGACCCTCTGCTGCGCCCTGAAGCAGCAAATGACACAGCGGGTTGTTCGGTTCTTTCATTTTTAAGGTCACATTGATGTGCAGCTGCACTGAAAATGAGCTGTAAAATATGGAAATGAACACTGAGGAAATGAGAGCAAATCACCTTTTTATTTTTTTCTGCTCGTCAGTTTAAAGAAAAAAATGGTAGTCTCAGATAGTTTTATCAGTTAACAACCCTAAGTGAACTAGAAAGGAAACTTTTAAAGTTTTTATTCTATTATCAACTCGTTTTTTTATTAATATGTAAACGACTGCCTTTTCCCCCTCCATGATAACAAAGAACTCCCCTTGATGAGCGTATGTAATTAAAGTTGGCTTAGTTTTTAATGGAGTGCCATTTCTCTATAAAAGACTGTAATTTAAATATTCTGTGCACAAGTTTGTCTGTTTTTCTGAAAATATACCGGGTGCTAACATGTTGGACTGCAGGTTCAGCTGATGTAAAATATCAATCAAGGGTGCATTTGACTTCATGAGCCTGAAAATTTATGTTTAATTTTACAGAGTTGATCATTTCTTTTTTTTTTTGTTGTTCTTAACAGCTCAAGTCAAATATTGTCCAGTGTTTCTTCACATCCAAAGGTGATAAAATCTGATTTTTTAATGACATTTCAAATGTGTTTTAATTGAATTTAGGGTTGAAATGTGTCCACCTAAAGCAGCAGCTTGGATATTTTAAGGTGGAGTTGTGAGGAAAAGTCACCAATAAATATCTTACCTGTTATAGAACGACATTAGTTTGGAAAAATTGTTTAATTCTGATCAGACTGATGAACAAATCACTAATTGGAGCAATGCCAACACCAAAGTGGATTGGTTCCATCTTAAAAAATACAAAATTGTCACTTTTTTATTTTATAAACCTTTACATTGCTCTTAATTTTGCATTTAATGGGTATTTACAAATCTATTAACATGGCAGCAGCAGCAAGCTGTAGTGTTTTTGGTGCAGCCTGGGGCACTTTCTGCAGGATAATCATACTATTTCTACCGGAGTGACCGTGTAATGCCTGGCTGACAGTGATCTAAAGACAAATGTGCTTTGAAATTGTTTGGATGGGAGTTTTTTTTTTAAGCAAGCAGCAAGTCACTATGACGTTATCCTCGCTAAGACTAGTTTGCTTGTCAATCCAGTTAGAATTAAACTATTTGAGGTCATTTAAAGAGCAGCTAAAGTAAAATTTATTCATAACATTTCCACAAATCCCCACCTCAAAAGATCTGACCTACATGGTAATAAGCCTTCGTACACAAACGGGGTCATTTCTGAGCCCGGTCCCATGTTTTTGCATGCTGATTTAAGTGTCCCAGTATTTTTCTCTCGTTCTGTTTGAGGACAGATGACAGGCAAAGATGGCCGGAGTCAAAGTTGCTTGGCAGACGAGCTCTGAACCATTTATATTCATAATCAAAGTAAATACCATCTGACTGGCTCTGGTTCTGTGCATATGTGTCATGGAAGACAGAACAAACAAAACACAAAAGATAATTACTGTGAAACAATTACAATGCCTTACTGGAGATATTTTTTATTTAATGACCAGAAGACTTTATGATCGGGTTTTGGCTGCTGGAGAATATTTTGCATCACTTTCATTTGCTTAAGTAGAATTTGTTTCCTGACAAACACTGAATCTTTAAAAATGAGGAGGATAAAAAGAAAAGCCTGATCCAGTATTGGCCTTTCAGTGCACTTAAGCCTTTTCTGCATATAATGCACTGCAAACCTTAATGAAAGTGCAGCAAGTGTTAACGCCAAGGAGCTTTCAAATATGCAAAGATGAATGGAATGAAGTGAAGGACTTAATCTTCTGACAAGCAGCTCGGGAAAAAAACCCCCGAAGAACTGCCGTCACGCCACGTCTTCATATATTGGTCCGAACATGTCCAATATGCTTTGCACTATGGAGAAATGCCATCTATGGAGTTTAATGTTGACAAATTTAGTTTATTTTTCTAAGTTTAACAACCTTGTGGCAATGTGTGGAGCCTTGCTGCAAATCTAATGCACTTCTGTTTGCTTTCATAAGTGAAAATTGCGAATGTGTCAGTGTTATGTAAAGCGTTATCAATTTTCTTGTACACTTCATGTTTTTTTTTTCCCATTACTCGGAAGAAATCCTATTCGATGCTATGACAGGATGTTAAAACGAGCTGGGAAACACCAACAGAAATTTTATTGTCAAACCAATTTAACTAAAGATTAAGTTAAACATGCATGAAAGAGGTTTGACATTGTATTGAGAGGTTAAAGGAGGTTTTTGTAAATGTTTTGCAGACAGAGCAGCCCATGCAAAGATTCCCGTTTTAAATATTAACTCATTAAACTGCAGGATGGAGCTTCAAAGGTTTCCTCCTGCATATTTAAGCTTTCTTTTTCCTCCCCTGTAACGTGAGATATATCAGTTGGAAGATTTTCCTGGAAATGTGCCAGAAGCGTGTATATATATATATATATATATATATATATATATATATATATATATATATATGTATGTATGTTGTCACATGTCTGGGGAGAACGCCCGACATGAACTGGCATGCTAAGGCTGCGCTATTTCTTTATATATTACTCAGTGCATAACATTACAGCTGGTGTTTTAAATACAAAACCAAAGAATGTACTTTATCCCTAACCAAGTTGATATTGCCTGACCAGGAAGCAGAGAAATTTTTTTTGTTTGTTTGTTTTTTGTATTTTATTGTTAAAATGTAACCACAAATTGGAAAAACTTTGTTTTTTTGTAGGCACCAGATCATTGGACAAGTTTTAGGTTGACATTTTGCTCTTTTCTGTTGTGTTTGAAAATGAAACGAATGTCCAATATGATTGTTTACTGCTTGTGGTACGCTTAGTTTATTTATTTGTCTTTTTTTTTTTTTTTTTTTTTTTTGGTATGTTGTGCAGTGTTGCTCAAGTTGCGGGCTAGCTCGCTATGCTAATATTTAGTTGCATCTATCTCTATCTTAGCATAATTTAAAAAATATCACAACATAGAGATTTTATTTACTTTATGGAAATTACATTAAATGACGAGCTGATTTAAAAAAGAAGTGCAAAGCAAAAACACTAATTTCTTCAAAATGGTTTCTTAACATGCTGTTTTCTCACAGACTTGTTTGGCAGACAAAAAAAAGATCTTTATGAATGAAAGCTGCTAAAAAAACCCTCAATTTTTTAAAACAAGTAAATGCAACAATAAAAACTAGAAAAGCAAACAAAGAAACTAGCATGAATAGGCTTAACACAGTGGTTCCCAACCATGGTCCTTGAGGAACACCATTCTGCATGTTTTAGTTGGTTCCTTGCTCCAATATACCCGATTCAGTGGTTTAATTACTTCTTCAAGTTATGCCAAAACCTGCTAAGCATACAGTCATTCAAATCGGGTGTGTCAAAGCAGGGAAACTAAAACATGCAGGATGGTGTTACTCAAGGAGCAGTGTTGGGAACCATTGAACTAGAGTGTATAAGGGTACTAACTTATGTTAGCTATACAGAAATAAGTAGACTTGTTTGTTCTAATTAACAAAGTTTTAGCAAACTGACATTCATTCATTAATATTTACAATTTAGTAGAATAAAGCTACTTGCTCACAACAACTAGGATAGTTGGGAACCAATAAAACTAGCATAAATAGGCTAATTAGCATATGTCAGCTTAGCTTAATTTGGCTAAAAAGAAATTTGTTGTTCCATCAGGTTACCAAAGTTTTACCTAAATTTTGTTCATATGTTCTTACAGTTTTATGAAGCAAAGTTAAATGTGCAAATCAGTTGGAGTTTGTGCTGTAAAGAGAATTTTTCAAGACTAAACAAGTGACGAGTGCTAAATATTTAGCCTTTAAAAGGTTCAAGTGGAAACAGAGCTGTTCCAGAGTCTGGTCTGCTTTTACTGACAACTGGATGTATTTCAAATGTAACCACGAAACAAAAAGCAAATGGCCTCAATAAAGAGCCTTTTCTTCCGCGGAGCAGGTGGTTGCTGCCCTGAAAACGACAAAAGCAGGAAAAATGGACCAAATTTAAAGAGAGTTTTGTGCTTACAAAGAGAAAACCCCAAACTGGCTGACGGGGAACAACAAAATCCACCAGTTAAATTGAATGAATAGTTTGAAAAAGCTTGACGTCGCCGCCAAAGTTATTTCAGAGCAGCTTTGGATTGATTAAAACCCTTTCCATAATGTTTTCTAACATTTATATCACAGATATAACTCAGTGCGTTAGATGCAAATGCAAAAAACAATTGCTTCACATTGGATTTAAAATTAGCTTTAGCAACTTAGCCCTCTCAGCTTCCAAGCAGGTACGATAATCATGTCTGCAGAGGTACAGAAATCACATTTCTACTATGTTTTATTCAGTGAGAAGGTGAAACCTCACAGGGCCGAGCTGTTCATTGGAAAGTAAACATCTTTGCATAATGTTATTGCTCCATAAGTGGCTGGTTTGAGCAAAACAGAAAACAGCTTCAGTAAACACAGTTCGGGACGTGAACTTCAGCAGGTTCTGAAAAATGACTGTAACGTGCTCAGATTTACAGGCATTAAGGTAAATATTTATGTAGTAGTAGCTGAGAATCATTCATAACTCACTCTGAGAATGAAATTGCTCATACGGCTATTTTCAAGGTCATATTTTAACATAAGATGATTTTAGTTTGGCGTGAAAGATTGCTACGGCTTTAATAGTCATTTGTTTTTTTTTATAGTTTTAAGCTTGGGTCAACTTTTTGTAGTCGAGTCACATCAAGCTTGTAGCAAAAAAAAGTGACAAAACTTGCGAGGCGAACATTTTCCACACATACTAAAATATTTAGAGTCTGGCTTTCAGGGCTTTTCGGAGTATTAGGAGTTGCAGAAGGAGGCTGAGGCTGCTGTATTCTAATAAAAGTGCATTTCCACAGGGCAATACGTCATGATGAAAAGCCAACGTGTACTTTATCATGTCTATTTAAAAGAACCATCCAACAGCTTACATCTGCTCACTCTGAGGCACATTCGACAAGAAAAACTGAATTTGCTGTTCTTGTATGTAAAAATCAAAGCTGTATTTGATAACATACCGTTAAAATGTAAACTTTTAGATTAGGGATTCCGAAATGAACCATTTTAGCCATATTTAGGACAATTTACTTTGTGTGGCAGGGCTTTTCTAGCATTTATAGTAATTAATTTTAGACAGTGCAGCTTTTCTAGTATTTATGGTAATTAATTTTAGACTGTGCAGCTTTTCTAGTATTTATGGTAATTAATTTTAGACAGCACAGATTATCTAGTATTTACGGTAATTAGACAACAAAACTTTTCTAGTATTTATGGTAAATCATTTTAGGCGGCGCAGCTTTTCTAGTGTTTACGGTAATTAATTTTAGACTGTGCAGCTTTTCTAGTATTTATGGTAATTCACTTTAGGCAGTGCAGCTTTTCTAGTGTTTACGGTAATTAATTTTAGACTGTGCAGCTT